CCCATCAAAGACCGGAGTTGCCCCTCGAGCTTTGACCCAGAAAATTAGGTTACGAGGGCATCAGTAGTCATTTAGGCAACCGAGCAGCGTACTGTGTGGGGCGCGCAAGATGACGTGGCAGACAAGTGGGCCGGTCCTGAGGGGTTAGGGGAGAAGGGACACGTGGGTGGTCGCTCTTTACGATGGGTCTCAGTCGGATAACGACACGTGTCACAAAGCGATGGAAATTATGCCACGTGGCGTGATACGATGTGGGGCTTTGAATCGGTGGAAAAGAGATGCGTATCACTGTCGTGCGGATAACGAAAACAATATCGAAGTTCGAGAAAATGACCCCAAAAAGCTCTGGAAAATAGCAACAAGAAAATATGTTGCCCCTCTCAATCTTTCAAATATCGAACTAGTCCTAGATCACATCGACAATTTTGCTACTTTCCCAAATTATTGTAAGGAAATTTAACGAAAACACACCTAATTTTTTAATAGTATAACCGGTTATTCTTTTTCGATTATTCCCACCCTACTTTTTGATATTTTTAAAAGAGGAAAGTTTAAATAGAGCCGATGCTCTAAAAAATCAAATTAGGACTTACCTCAAAAATTTTACTAGAAGATGTTGTTTTGATATCCAAATATCTTCAAATTAATCATCTCGCATCAATATGCATGGACATGAGAAAAAAATGGATGTCAAGTTTTGAAAAAAGTGTATTTTGTAACGCATTTTCGGACTGTCAATTTTCAAGATTTTTAAGTTTTTATAGATATGTTAATCTACAATATTTTTGAAGCTTTAAACTTTCTTTATAAATAAAGATGAAAATATATTTTAAGGCTGTAATAAAGATTTCTATTGAAACCCCATGTCTCGATACTATGGGAGGGTAGGTTCTAATTTGATTGTTGAGAGCCTTGGCTCTATGCAAACCGCATCCTTTTTAAAATGTAGAATTGTATAATTGTATTCAATAAAATTTGGACATTTGTATATTCTTGTTTTTTTAGCTTTTTATTTTATTTTATTTTTTATTACGCGGTTTGTATAGAGCCGAGGCTCTAAACAATCAAATTAGAGCCCACCTTCAAATAGTATCGAGAAATATGGTTTCAATACTAGAGATTTTTGTAATAGCCTTGAAATATATCTTCATCTTTAATTATTAAATTTGAAGATTAAAAAACAGTGTGGATCGAGCATATATATGAAAACTTGAAAATCTTTAAAAATGACAATAAAAAAATACGTTACAATATTTACTATTTCCAAAACTTGAAATCTATTTTTTTTTTCTCATGTCCTTCCATCTTGATGTTGAGATGATCAATTTGATGATATTTGGGCATCAAACCTGTTCTAATGAAATGTTTGAGATAGGCTCTAATTTGATTGTTTAGAGCCTAAGCTCTATATAAACTTTTCTCTTTTTTTTAATAAGATTATTTTTTGTCATTATGAGTGATTTGACATATCTACAAGGGTATGTGACATCACCCACTAAAAATTAAATCGCACTAGTGTGCTTCATGTGGATGATGTTATACCATAATATCACACCTATGACCTATTTTAATGACCAAAAATACCATTACAAAAAAATACTGCACATATAACATATGGGTGCGGTTTGTATAGAGCCTAGGCTCTAAATAATTAATTCGAGCCTACTTTCAAATAGTTTCGACAAATGTGGTTTCAATACTAAAAATTATTATGATAGCCTATTTTCATTTTTATTTATAAAGTTTAAAGCCTAAAAAATAGGATAGATCGATAGATCTATGAAAACTTGAAAATTCACGGTCCAAAAATGCATTACAAAATGAAATCCATTTTTTTTTCATGTACATGCATCTTGATGTTGAGATGATTAATTTGAAGGTATTTGGGCATCAAAAGAACATCTTCTAGTGAAAATTTTGAGGTAGGCTCTAATTTTATAGTTTAGCGCCTTGGCTCTATATAAACTATTCCTATAAAATCAAGGTGCGGTTTGTATAGAGCCGATGCTCAAAACAATCAAATTAAAGTCCACCCTCAAATAGTGTTAAGAAATGTGGTTTCAAGACTCAAATTTTTTGTGACACCTTAAAATATATTTTCATCTTTAGTTATAAAATTTAAAGTTTCAAAAATAGTGTAGATCGAGCGTATCTATAAAACTTGAAAATTGATGGCCAAAAAATGTGTTACAAGATGTACTATATCCAAACTTGAAATTCATTTCTTTTCTCATGTCCATGCATCTTGATGTCGAGATGATCAATTTGAGGATATTTGGGCATAAAAAAGAAACCTCTTCTAGTGAAATTTTTGAGGTAGGCTCTAATTTGATTGTTTAGAGCCTCGACTCTATATAAACTTTTTCCATAAAATAAGGTATTTAATACCCAAAATTTATTAAGTACAATTATAAAATGTTTTATAACATGAGCACCCTAACATAATACTTTTAAAATTAATCATAAGATTTGAAATACTTGATGGGATATGTACATTGTGATAAACTTCCCTTCATTATTAGTTATTGCATATTTTTATTTTGGGTGTGGTTTGCATAAGGTTGTAACCCTAAGCAAATCCACTTAAAAGGCACCTCTAAAGTTTATCATAAATGTAATTTTGATATATAATTCTTAGGATGACTTGAGAATCTATTTTCGATCTCTAATTATAAAATTTTAAATTTTAGAAATGGTTCAAATCAAATAGATATATAAACGCATATAAATCTTGAAAAGTAACAATTCAAATAATGTGTAGCAAGGTATACTATTTCACGGACTCGAAATTCTTTTTTCTTTTCATATTCATATGAGGTTTTTCAACATCTAAATAATTTTTTATGATAGATTTTTGAGGTGCGTTTTTAATTCTATATTTTAATTGCAACCTGATATAAATTTTTTTCTTTTATTTTTTTTGTTCAAAATTACAAATCTTCTATCGGAGGCATGGGTTACGTTTAAAAAAGTAAATCTGCACCTGACGTCGTAATCCTTTTAGGAGAGGGTGTTTTGAGTGGTTGAGGGCATTTTAGTCCTCTCCGGCCAAATAGAACTAGGAGCACGTGAAAAAATAGAATTAAGGTAAAAAGTGAATATGAAAAAATAGAATAATATAAGGAGGATAATAAAGTAATTTAAGATGATGGGGGCATGCCAGCTTGGTCATGCTCAAAGCCGCGGTTAAAAGGTTGTCCCCAGCTGTCAATACCGTCCTCATTTCTCCGCGTATTTTCCGTTCATTCAAAATTCCGTTTTTCGCCAAAATATCCTCAGCTCTTGTCATCTTTTCTGAAGTGCCCTTCATTCAACTTTTCCTATTATGACGAAAATGCCCTCCCTGGACCGTTAAAAGCATGATGAGGACTGAAGTGGCAATAATGGCTTTTAAAGTTCCAACGGTGATTTTATCACGATTACGAGTAAATTTAAGAGGGATTGCATACAAGGAGTCCATTTATCTTTTATAGAAAGTCATCACAATTTTTTATAATCATTTGATGGGAAATTTTATAGAGTTTATGATGGCTTTATATCAATTTTATTTGTCATCTTTACATCAAGATGCATGGGCTTGAGAAAAAAATGGACTTCAAGTTTTGAAAATAGTGTACTGTAGTGTATTTTTGAATTGTCAATTTTTAAGTTATTTAAGGTTTTATGGAAATGTTCGATCTATACTATTTTCGAAGCTTTAAAGGTGATTCTATTCTAAAGCTTGTAAAAAACTTTCTAATATTAAAACCACATTTCTCGATACCATTTGAAAGTGAGGCTCTAATTTGATTGTTTAAAGCCTCGGCTCTATACAAACCACACCTTGACATCATCATTAGAGTTTTTTTTTCAACTATTTGAAGTCGGTTTTACGGATTGTAGTCTCGCATTCTCCTCTGTCGCCATTCAGTGAGGAGCTTGGAGATTGATCGATGACATAAAATTCTAAGGATCTATCTTCTCTATTTAATCATGAACATGTAAAAACAAGTTTTAAAATTTAAATTCAAAAAATGGTTTATATAGTACTTCTAGCCCTCGTTTCAATTCGTCATTGATAAATAGATGCCCATTAATTTTTAGTTCCAAATTCATAAAATTTGTGGTAGAAATGAATTTTCAAAATATATTTCGAGTTTTAAATCAGGCGAAAACTAAGGCAAGCACTCTTCCTTCTTAAAAATTAATAAATCTATAGGACTATGCGCGGGCTAATGTATACTCTTTTAAAATATATTCTAGTGGAAATTGCAAGATTTATGACGCGGTAATTTCACAAAAAAAAAAAAATACTTGTTATAAATGAGGAATTAACTCCTAAATTTTCCAGCAGAGCGAAGGGATAAAAAGAAAAGCAAAAACCACGAAGGACAGGTACGATATATGACCGACGTAAACTACCGCCCGGATTTCCCTAACTGACGTGGCATTTCAATCCAACACCGTCAATCCCACCGACCGACACGTCCCACGCGTACTTTCTCGTTGCACAAGGAGCGTCCGATGTGGAACCCGACATTCGCGTCCAGAAAATCTCAACCGTCGTATTCTCGAAGCCCAAAAGAATAGGGCAACAAGAAAATAAGGATACGGATCGAGGGCAATTTCGTCATTACTCGATGTGGAGTCCCGGTCTCTTGGCTATTGGGGATATGGTGGGCAATTTCGGGGAGAAGTTGGGGGCAGTTAGGTAATTACTCCACGTGAGCAACAGGTGAGTGAACTCTTATCTAACCATAGTTTAATGGTTTTTTCCAACCCACGGTTAGTTGAAACAAGGGGTTAAACTTTTTCTTCCATTTCTTTATATTTATATTTATATTTATATTTTTAAGTTAAAAACACGAAGTCTGAAACCAAGTCTCTCTCTCTTGGTGTAGGTACGCTGCCAAAACCTCATCCTTTTTCATTCTCTCTCTCTGAAATCTCTCTTCAAGCTTTCTCTCTCTACCTGACAAAGCCTCATCCTATCTCCCCTCTCTCTCTCTCTCAATATCTCATTGGACTCGCAACTCTCTCTCTAGACTCTGTATACCTGCCAAAACCTCATCCTTTTCGTTCTCTCTCTAGACTCTCTAATTCGCCGAAACCACCTCTTTTCCGAGCTCTTTCTCTCTCTAGATTCTCTAAGCTCCCGCTTTCTCTCTCTACTTTTTGCTGGAGGATTTAATTCTGTGTAAATCTTATAACTTCTTCTGCAGGCAACGGATTTGGCTTCTTTCGGACGCCTTTTCCCCCGCCTTTAAATCTCCCCTTTAAGAAGCGCTCCTCACTCCTTCTAAAACGAACGCGTCGGCTCGGAGCATCGAAATCTGGTTCTCCGATCAAGTATACGGGAAATCAGGTCGATTTCTGGCTGGAATTCACTTTTTCCGGCGAGTTTTTCAGACCTTTGCTAGGTCGAAAGGAGCTCAGATCTTTGGATGATCACGCGTTTATTCTTTGTTGTTAGTTTGTCACAGGTTTGATATCTATGATCCCTTTGAGTTAGCTGCTTATTCTCTCTTTTTATTGCTGGATCGCGTCTGCTGTGTTTTCTGTCATGATTTCAAATGAACGATTCAAACTCTCTTCTCTCTCTCTAAATGTTTTCTTCTTTATTTCTATCTAAGATACCATCAATTTCTCTCTCATATATCATTCTCTCTTGATGCATCTTCATAATGGAAAATCTGATATATTTATCTTCCTTTTTACTTCTTTCGCTCTCTGCTTCTCTCTCTCATGTAAAAACCTATTCTATAAAACCTATTAATTTCTCTCTCTGAATTATGTAGACATGGGGAGATGACTTGTGTATTCCTGTCCGCTTCTTGATTTCTTGAAAAAAACGCATGAAGAAGGAAAAAGATAGAAATTGATCTATTTCCATGTTTTTACAGAGAGAGAACTAGAATAGCAATATCCTCTCTGTAGTTAGAGAGAGGGTGAGAATTTGGCACAAAGAGAAAAAGATAAGCTTCATAAAAAAAGGGTTTTTTTTTTTTCGCATGCTATTTTTAGAAGCGGATTTTTGTTTATGACCGACTCTTCACATTCTTGCCGAGGCAAATGCGCTTCGACATATCTGGACCCTCCGTTGGAGGGATGCAATAGATCTCCACCGTCTGCTTTGACGCCTACAGTTTGGCACGAGTCGTGCTCGTGATTTGTCGCGTGTCAGGGACGACACTTATTGTCCCACGAGCCATGCCGCCTGCGTGCTTCCTCCTTTTTGTACTCCTGTTTAGGTTTTCCATAGGAGTATAATGCCATCATATTATGATCCATATGAGCATTTAAGAATAATAGTCATCGGTGACTCTACTGTCCAATCAATTCACGGACGGTGATGGAGGGAGAATGGACCCACAAGGCCGAGGAATGACCTCCCAATGTGCGGGTCCCACTATATTTTAGAAGGGGACAGCTAATTATCAGCTTGCATTTTTCTATGGTCATATGGATTATATAGCATACTCCATAATTCTAATGAAAATTTCAATTTTAGATGCGTTTTTTTGTGAAGATTTGCTGATGGGTAGTTCTGTAGACCGTAGGCGTATGAAAGTGCTCTTTGTGCGCATGTTCGTTTCTGGACGATAGTACTTCGGAGAAAGCACATTCTACAAAGGGGCAAAATATCCTATTTCTCTGGTGTTTGTTTATGTTTGGCGTGTGTGGTTCACGTGAAATGCGTTTGTTTGTTGGGTTGAGAGAGAGAGAGAGCATAGGTGGGTTTTTGTTTAGGTGTGATGGAGAGAGCGTAGGTGGGGGTTTTGTGGTGATTTGATGATGAGCAGTTGTAAAGGCTTCTAAAAAATGTCCTGTGGTATATTCGTTTCTAGATGATGATAGTTTGGGGAAAATACAATATACAAAGGGGGAAAAATATCTCATTGCTCTGGTGTTTATTGGTGTTTGGATGTGTGGTGTATGGTCATGTGCTTGTTTGTGTGTGGAGAGAGAGAAAGGAATCGAGTATTATACTTGAACTCGTGTTACCCTTATTTAGACGAGTATGCGAATCTTGGCCTACTGGCGATTTTTCTTGAAATAACCGATAGAGAGCACGGTATTACAAAAATATCGCAATTATTTATTGTCCCTATCTCCTTCTAATTTGGGTTGCGATTGATCCTTATCTTGAATAACAGTAGCTTAATGTCTTAATCCACTGAATATTCCCACTATATTTGGCCACAATCAGCCAAAATTGGCCGAAGCCTTGACACGTACCTAATTTGAGCTCGGAAAATATTATCTCTTGTCATGACGAAATCTTTTTTGATATCTTATCTATATTTGTTGGTCAATGGCCCCTTACTGTGTTATACTTGAATTTGGATTGAATGGTTCTCTGTTTATTTTTCCTCAACCTAGCCAGTTAGGAAGACGGCCAGTTTGTATTTTGGAGTAATGGTGAGAAAACCAGATAGCCAAAATTCGGATTTCTGAAAAGAAAAATAGTCCCCCCAATTTTGCAACCAATTTTTTCTGCACTGTCTTTATTTATATTTGTACGATACTTTTCATCTGACTTCTCTCTGCATAGACTCCATTATTATATATTGACTGATGCATGAGGGTCAATAATATTCATATTCTGAGTGTTTTGCACGATCGGAGGTGCTCCAATTATTGTGGGTGGCTATGCATATCCATTTATCCACATCAAAACCCTTTCCAACCGAGAATATTCCATCGATATTTTTATCGATAGATTGCCAAACAGTAGTATTTATTTCCTTGTCTTTTTTTATCAGATCCTTTTGTTTAGATGGTAGATGTGTATGCCTTGTCTTGTTCTATGAACAATTGGATCTAATGGGCCAGTTGGTTGCTTGCAGATCTGACACGTGTCTGTCTGGGGGTCTTGATTCCCTTGAACGTTGGTAGTATCACGGGGAAACCTGCTTATGTTTATCTTTATTGGAATACAAAGTCTACAAAGGTTGTGGGTTTTCTAGCATTTTGCTTCACAATATCTAATAGTTGAGGTGGTGGTTGATAAATGATATCCAGGTAGTTCTTTCTCATATCCTCTCTCTCTCTCTCTCTCTCAATTTAGTTTATCTTCTATCAAACGGGTTGAAAAAATATGTTATCTTTTTCTTTGTTATTGTTTTGTGATTTCATCTTTCACGAGAGACAAAAAGAAGATATCTTGTAATATTGTGTTTCTGTTTGTGCTCTGTGAAGGCATCATGGTGTCAAAATCCTGTACAAATCTGTTGGGTTTGGCCTCTGGCGAGCTGATGGACTTCCCACAAGCTTTAAGGCGACTTCCTAGAGTTGTTACTTCACCAGGGATCATCTCAGATTTTGATGATGGATTGAATGAAATTTAGGCAAAAGTCAAGAAAGGATCATAATAGTAGCAAATCAGCTACCTCTTCGCGCTCAAAAGGGTGTTCTAGATGGTAAATGGCACTTTAGTTGGGATGAAGATTCTCCTCTGCCCCAACTAAAAGATGGGTTCTCTTCTGGTACTGATTGTCTCTTTGTTGGTTGTCTCAAAGCTGAGATAGACTCGAGCGAGCAAGAAGCCATTGCCCAGAGGCTTTTGGAAGAGTTCAAATGCGTGCCCACTTTCCTTCCTAATGAACTTCAAGTCAAATTTTACCATGGATTTTGTAAGCAGCATCTATGGCCACTGTTCCATTACATGCTGCCTTTATGTCCTGATCATGGGGATAAGTTTGACCGGTCTCTATGGCAAGCGTATGTCTCTGCAAATAAGTTATTTGCTGACAAAGTCATGGAAGTAATCAACCCAGATGATGACTACGTATGGGTCCATGACTATCATCTTATGGTCCTTCCTACATTCTTGAGGAAGCGGTTTAACCGGATTAAGCTCGGGTTCTTTCTCCATAGCCCCTTCCCATCTTCTGAGATTTACAGGACTTTACCTGTGCGCGATGAGATCTTGAAGGCCTTGCTCAATTCAGATTTGATTGGTTTTCACACCTTTGATTATGCTCGACACTTCCTTTCTTGTTGTAGTAGGATGTTGGGTTTGGATTATGAATCCAAGAGGGGTTACATTGGTCTAGAGTATTATGGCCGCACAGTGAGTATAAAGATTCTTCCTGTTGGTGTACATATGGGACAGCTTGAGTCAGTGTTGAATAAAGCTGAAACTTCAGCAAAGGTAAGAGAGCTTGAAGAACAGTTTATGGGGAAAACTTTGGTTGTTGGGGTTGATGATATGGACATATTTAAGGGTATAAGTCTGAAGTTGTTGGCGATGGAGGAGCTTTTGAAGCAACATCCCAAACTGCAAGGCAAAGTTGTCCTAGTTCAGATTGCCAACCCTGCCAGAAGTAGTGGGAAAGATGTACAAGAAGCCAAGAGAGAGACTCATTCAACTGCTAAAAGGATTAATGAGATGTATGGGTATCCTGGTTATGACCCAATTGTTTTAATTGATCGACCTGTGCCCCTGTATGAGAAACTTGCCTATTATGTCATGGCTGAGTGTTGTGTGGTGAATGCTGTGAGAGATGGGATGAACTTGGTTTCGTATAAATATATTGTTTGCAGGCAAGGAACTCTAAAGGCTGATGAAGCAATGGGTATCAGTTCAACTATCCCTAGAAAGAGCATGCTTGTCGTTTCTGAATTTGTCGGTTGTTCCCCTTCTCTAAGTGGGGCAATCAGGGTTAACCCTTGGAACATTGATGCAGTGTCAGAGGCCATAAATTCTGCCATTACTATGCCTGATTCAGAAAAACAACTACGCCATGAGAAGCATTATCGGTATGTCAGCTCTCATGATGTGGGTTATTGGGCAAGAAGCTTCAAGTCTGACTTGGAGAGAGCTTGTAAAGATCACTACTCTAGAAGGTGTTGGGGAATTGGATTTGGGTTAGGTTTCAGGGTTGTTGCTCTTGATCCAAATTTCAGGAAATTGTCCATAGAGCATGTCGCTTCTGTGTACAAAAGAACAAAGAGAAGGGCAATATTTTTGGATTATGATGGAACCATGATGCCTCAGACATCGATATGCAAGAATCCCAGTAACGAGGTCATTTCTGTTCTGAATAGCCTGTGCAGTGATCCTAAGAACACTGTGTTCATTGTCAGTGGAAGGGGAAGGAGTTCTTTAAGCGAGTGGTTTTCTCCTTGTCAGAAGTTGGGAATTGCAGCAGAGCATGGGTACTTCACAAGGTAAATTGTAAATTTTATGATCTTTCTTTATTTCCTTCTAATATTAATTTCACATTCGCACATGAAAGAGCAAGAACAGGATTACAGTGGTGGAATGTTAATACAATTTGTAATATAATAGAATAATGGCGGGAGAAACTTGTCACAAAAAATGGAAAAACAGAGAAGTATCAGATAATTAAAAAATATATCATTATGAATCATTTCTATAGAGATGAAATAATTCATCATTTTTATGAGACTTTAAAAAATGACTGAATCAAATTTTACTTTCAACGTAATCCTGGCAGTTTGGTTGGTTCAGAAGATGGGGTGGATATGAGTTCTATTAGCATCGAATCTCGATCTCATATCATGAGAAGAATGAGTTGTGTTAAGTTTTTGAAAACTAAATTAAAAAGATAGGGGAGATATGAGTTCTATTAGCATCAAATTTCAATGTTGGATCATGAGAAAAATGAGCTGTTCTAAGTTTTTGAAGACTAAAATGTTCAATCTGTAAACAAGCAACCTGTATAAAGAAGCATCCTGTAATCTTGTAAAGTGCATCCAATGTATAATTAGTGACATTTTTTATGAAAGCAAGAACTTAAAATCTCAAGCTAAGACATTTATGGATGAAATTACTAGAATCTGGCAAGTATCATATTGAAGAGGTACTAAACCAGAAAGCTTATAACATGAAACTGGTACAACTTGTAACTGATGATTGGTTAGTATTTATTTGTGATCTAAGGAGCTGCCCTTTTGATGTAGATGGAGTGGAGACTCTGAGTGGAAATCATGCTTGTTAGCTGCAGATTTCGATTGGAAAAGTATAGCTGAACCTGTTATGAGATTATATACCGAGACAACTGATGGATCTTCGATGGAAATAAAGGAAAGTGCATTGGTCTGGCATCATCAAGATGCTGACCCAGATTTTGGTTCTTGTCAAGCAAAGGAGCTTTTGGACCACCTAGAGAATGTACTAGCCAATGAACCAGTAGTCGTTAAAAGGGCCAGCATATTGTGGAAGTTAAGCCGCAGGTAAATTTCTTGTTCTTATTCTTCCTCTCTCTCTCTCTCTCTCTCTCTCTCTCTCTCCTGTCTTTCTTTCTGTGTGCATGGTGTGTGTGGAAGTTAAGCCACAGTACTGAATCTCTTTGCACCTTTGATAACCTCTTTCTCTTACTTGCGTATATGATGATCCGGCCCCCTTGTGATCCTCATGATCATGTCTTGCAGGGTGTAAGTAAGGGTTTGGTTGCAGAAAACCTTCTCTCAGCAATGGTGGATGGTGGGAAGCCACCTGATTTTGTGATGTGCATCGGTGATGATAGGTCTGATGAGGACATGTTTGAGAGCATATCAACTGCTATATCTCGTCTATCAATGCCAGGACAAACAGAGGTTTATGCGTGTACAGTTGAGCAAAAACCAAGCAAGGCTAAGTATTATCTCGATGACACTGTCGAGGTCATAAAGTTGCTTCAAGGTCTTGCTGCTGCCTCAGATCAGCATCCAAGGCCTGCTCATATTCAAGTGTCCTTCGAAAGCTGTGCTTGAAGTGGATGAATCATATTGGGGAGCTTGAGAATGCTAAAAACCAGGTTTTGTGGCTAATGGCTTAAGTTGGAGAATTATGGGATGCATTTATTGATCTAATTGAATATTCTCAAGACAATTTTGTTGGGTATAAGGTGATGACCTTTATCTGTTAGTGGAAGAGGAAGTGGATAATCGCGGGGGTTTGGCATGGTGCACCTAGCTTTTGCTGAGCTTTCTTTGATGTGGTGGCTGAACTCTTGCCAATTCCAAATAGTGAAGCAATTTTGCTGAGTCTTTTGTTTCTGGGATCATGTCTTGAGGGTTGGTGATAGTGAAGTCATGTGATGATAGCAAGGGCCGCCGCATTTGGCGCTCATTACCATGTGAATTTTGCTTTTATAGAAGCTCGATCACAATAGTAAAAAATGAAATGGTATAATGACCTCTCACATGTATGTATTCACACTGTTCTTACCAATTTATTTTTTTTGATACATTGAATCAAATGGAATAATATTTACAGGTTGTTCCAAGTTAAAGGTTTCCTTCTGTATGCTATTCTCGTAAAGTACTGCACTGTATATCAGTGAGAAATGAGTGTCCTTTCCATTTCTGAACCTCTCTTTTAAAGGTTTCCTTTTGTATGCTATTTTATATGTTGCTCGTAAAGTAGTGCACTATATATCAGTGAGAAATGAGTGTCCTTTCTTTAAAAGAGAAACTTGGTTTATATTATGGGTGCGGTTTGCATAGAGCTGACGCTCTAAAGCGTACCTTCAAATAGTGTCTAGAAATGCGGTTGCAATACTAGAAATCTTGCGGTTGCAATACTAGAAATCTTGTGATAGCCTTAAAATATATTTTATTTTTAACTATAAAATTTAAAGCGTCAAAAATAGTGTACAAGCATAGATATATGAGAACACGAAAATCTTTAAAATTGATGGTCCAAAAATGGGTTATAAATGAACTATCTTTAAAACTTGAAATTCATTTTTTTCTTCTCATGTTCATGAATATTTATGTCAAGATGATCAATTTGAGAATATTTAAGCATTAAAAAAACCTCTTGTGCTAACTCTAATTTGATTGTTTAGAGCTTCGGTTCTATATAAACTCTTTCCTTAGGTTAATGGTGTAAAACAATCCAATTAAAGTACCTTCAAATTTTATCATAGTATATAATTTTGAACCTTCAAATTTGATCATAACATATAATTTTGGTGTAAAATATTCTTAGGATTATCTTATAATCTATTTTCATATCTAATTATAAAATTTTAAACTCCAAAGATAGTTAAATTTAAGTAAATCTATAAGCGTATGAAAATCTTGAAAATGGACGGTCTAGATAATGTGTTGTAAGATGCACTATTTATGAGACTCAAAATCTTTTTTTTTCTATAATACATACATCTCAATGTCGAGATGATCAATGAGAGGGTTTTTCAACATTAAAACAACC